CCCCCTCGTCCTGTCACTCCATGCCCTAGTAAAAAGTCCTTCCCCAGCTCTCCTGTAGGCCCCCTGTAGGTACCGGAAGGCCGCAATAAGATCTCCCCGGAGCCTTCTCTTCTGCAGGCTGAACAGCCCCAACTCTCTCAGCCTCTCCTCATAGGAGAGGAGCTCCAGCCCTTGGATCGTCCTCGTGGCTCTCCTCTGGACACGCTCCAGCAGGTCCATGTCTTTCTTATATTGAGGACTTTCTTATATTGAGGATGCAGTATTGCAGGTGGGGTCTCACGAGAGTGGAGTAGAGGGACAGAATCACCTCCCTTGACCTGCTGGTCACACTTCTTTTGATGCAGCCCAGGATAGGGTTGGCCTTCTGGGCTGCGATTGCACATTGTTTCAATATTGAAAATGCAAAGTATCTGAGCATGTTATTTCTTGAAGGTACTTCAAAAATCCCCGCGGTAGTGGTAGCCCAGGATAAATAAACAGAGCAGAAATGGAGATCGCAGCCTTTGAATTTTTGGAATAATTTTGCAGGGGACATGCCTTCATTTCTGTGAATAATTATGCAGGCTTTTTCAGAAGCAATTTTAAGTTGCAAAGGTTAAGCCTAGTTATATATCAAAAATAAGTTCTTTGGGGAAAAATATAATCGATAAGACAGTTCTTGTTTAAATGATACATTTTGTTTGGATAGGCCATCTCTTTGCCAAGAGGCAGGAATGTTAGGTAGAGAGTTCTTGGTTCAGTTACATGTCAGGAAAAAAACACGGCATTACTTCCAGATTCTGGAGTTTACTTGAGTAAAAAGAAAATCTGGTATTTCGGAAGCCTATAAAGAACAATACGGATTAAAGTGATTTTTCTGTAGTAAAATTGACATAATCTAGGCAAATGAAATGTTATTGAAGCAACCAAGGAAACCTGCTGCTGCTCTGGGGTCCTCTCTACTCCCCCAACCCTATTTAATTATTTACCTAATATTAAAATAGAGAAATAGTAACCAGACATGATTTATCTACGATTCAGTTAAGGAACTAACCACCAGACAACGTAGCGCTGTTGATAAGCAGGGTATTCCTGTCAAGAGAGAGATGAACTGTAGGCCTGGTCAGCAAACTGAGAAAACCACTTGGAACTGCCAAGATCAGAGGAGAAGTAGGTAAAAGGTAATTTTGGCAGGGGGAGATCGCGACCATCGACTCATTGGCCACATACCCAAATGGTACCACTTACTCAAAAGAGAACAATGGAAGAAGATAGAGTCTGTGCACTAATTTACATAGGAAGCGAAGAAATCTCAACCAATCATTAAAGAGAATAATAATATGTATTAATTGTTTGAATATGTAATAACCAGTGTATAAAAGTAGAGATTTTTGAAACCAAGGTGTGCTCCTGTTTGGGGATCAGCACCCCATTTCTGCACATTAAGAGAATAAACTTGGAAATACCTCTGCTCTGTGTGTTACGGGCTTGCACACCGGGTAAAGACCCCAGGTTTGGGACAATTTGAATATAAAAGCAAAAAACCCCCAAACATCTCAATCAACAGTTCTTTTACTCAATCAATTTCTTTTACTTACTGGTAGAAGAGAACAGTGTGTTCTTTAGTAGTTTATAGTATTGCATGGTATGGGAAATAACGTGCTGGTATGATGCCATATGCAACGCATACATGCTACAAACTCAAATCACGATAGGCAGAAGTCCTGGACAAGTTTTCAGGTCGTATTTATTTTTCTTTGTTCATTGTTTTAGAAGTTGTTGCTCAGATAAAGCATAATTTTGCAATCCAAGCATGCACAATACATTAAGAAACTATTTTTCAGAAAGGCTGACGGTGCTATTTTATGTGATGATCAGCAGTGTAGTGCATGTAACTTCATAGTTTAGTAACAATGTTCAAAACTACTTGTTTTTTATTGAGTCAAGTAAGGGAATTTGTCT